AAAAAAAGATCAGTGAGTGCTAAGAAGCCAAATAATGCAGAAAACTAAGAGAGAATACCTAACCCCTTATCCTTTGTAAGTGGACCGCGAGTCCCCAAATTACTAGAGGCATTTCGTCAACCGATGAATATATAAATTCAGCGAGTAAGAAACTTCGTTAATAGTGGACGTAGTCTTAGTCCTTTGGCTAAGGTGAACTACTTATATTCTTAGTCTAACTAATCACAAATCCATAATCTGCAAAGTCATTTCGTAATGCCATCCCATCATAATCGGGCTTGGGCCCTAAAATCCGAGCACCATTAATCACCATCACCCTACTGTTGCCACCACCATCACTCACCGCTACCACCACTCAATTTTTAATATTTATTTTGAAGATATATTAAAAATTGAGGTATAAATAAATATTTTGTAACTGATAATTCAAATGCACTTTTTGATAAAAGGCATTTTATTTGAGTGTTTTTTTATTTAAACATCCAAATGATATTTATTTAAAAATATTTTTTTCATTTTATAAGTTATTCCAAATACGTAATAAAGTTGATAGAAATTGTTAGAATTTGAAATTAACGACTTCCAAATACCAGAAACAACACAACAGTACAACATGTTTCTCTTGCATTCTCTCCCACCCACTCCTCAACTGAATCCAATTAATTACCCATATTCTATTCTAAATCTAAATCCCTTCTTCTCCTGCTACACTTTTCTCTCTCCTCCAACTGCAACTGAATTACAAATCCCAACGCCTTTCTTCCATTCTATCCCATTCCCCATTGTAACCGCAATAACTACGCAGTTCTCTCTCTCTCTTCTCCATTCAAGCATGCACATTTCTCTCTCACTCTCGCTTCTCTACATGGGAAATTTGCAAAACTTCCTCATTCTTCTCTTCCTCTCTCTAACTCTGTCTTTACCTCTCTGTCTCTCTCTAAACCAAGAAGGCCTCTACCTCCAAAGAGTCAAGCAATCTCTCTCCGACCCAACCGGCTCACTCTCCACCTGGTCCGACCGTGACGCCACACCATGCAACTGGACCGGCATCACCTGCGACAATTCGCCGTCTTCCTCCGTTGTTTCAGTCAATCTCACCACTGCCTCTCTCTCTGGTCCCTTCCCGTCCTTCCTCTGCCGCCTCCGTTCTCTCTCCTCAATCTCTCTCTCCAACAACTCCATCAACATGCTGCCGGCCACCATCTCCACCTGTCAAAATCTTACCCTCCTCGACCTCTCCCAAAACCTCCTCGTGGGCCCCATTCCTCCCACTCTCTCCGATCTCCCCAACCTCAGGTATGTACTCACCAAATTAAATATCAGTAGTAGCGATCGCTCTTTTTTTGGTATATGTACACTTTGCCAAAAATCTGTTGACCAGTTGATAGATAATTTCAAGAAACTCTATGTTTCTATAATTTTATTTTTATATCTCTTTTTATATAGAGTATATTTGTTTGACTCATATTACAGGTACCTCAACCTGGATGNCGAAGAGAAGAACCAGAGACGAATATGTCGTAAGTCACCCCAGAGTCCGAGGCAAAACACTTCGAATGCACAAAAAGGGAAGAGAGCACGAGAGAGGGTGGAACTCGAAACCACATACCAAAAAACCAAGAGACCTCCCCCCCTTTTTTACGAGGGACGTATATGTATGCGTGAAGAATTAAATTTGAGACAAGCAAGTGATAGGACACGCCAAAAAAGTCGTATCCACGAGCTCACCCGATGGTGACATGTGCGCATTGCTATCCCAGCATCGCCGGCAAACGGAAGCATGTCCCAATCTTGGTCAGAACCAATAGCCAGACATAGTCATCACTCCGAAAGCCCAAAACACGCACAGTAAAGTCATTTTTAACCCCAAACCAGAAATGATAACATCTCCATGACCTGGGGCAGGGGGGCAACTTATATGGACGAAATTCACGGCCAAGGCCTTGATGGCCCAGAAGCCTGACCATCCCAAGAGGTCCGGAGCAAAATAACGGGACCTGGCATCAGCAAAAAGCTTATAGCCCAGCAGTCCAGGCNACATTGCTATCCCAGCATCGCCGGCAAACGGAAGCATGGCCCAATCTTGGTCAGAACCAATAGCCAGACATAGTCATCACTCCGAAAGCCCAAAACACGCCCAGTAAAGTCATTTTTAACCCCAAACCAGAAATGATAACATCTCCATGACCTGGGGCAGAGGGGCAACTTATATGGACGAAATTCACAGCCAAGGCCTTGATGGCCCAGAAGCCTGACCAGCCCAAGAGGTCTGGAGCAAAATAACGGGACCTGGCATCAGCAAAAAGCTTATAGCCCAGCAGTCCAGGCCCAGCCCAAACCATAAAGCGATTTGGCGAGTAAAAGCCCAATCCAAGTTATTTCTGGATGAGCAAAGGGGACCACGCGACCAGGGGGACCACCCCCCTGACACCTACGACAATCTCAGAGAAGGTGGAGCACCAAGCCGCCAGAGATCATGGTAACGGCAGTGCCGAATGAACAGTGATCATGGTAGCATAAGAAACAAGAAGGGGTCAAAGGAAAGGACAGTTGGAAGCCCTAGGAGAAGCTGATATAAATGGATAATGTTAAGAAAAGGACTGGAGCTCTCCCCCCCCCCCCCAAAAAAAAAAAAAAAAAAAAAANCCCCTGACACCTACGACAATCTCAGAGAAGGTGGAGCACCAAGTGATCATGGTAACGGCAGTGCCGAATGAACAGTGATCATGGTAGCATAAGAAACAGGAAGGGGTCAAAGGAAAGGACAGTTGGAAGCCCTAGGAGAAGCTGATATAAATGGATAATGTTAAGAAAAGGACTGGAGCTCTCCTCCCCCCCCC